GCCGGCGGAGGGGCGGGGCACACCTCGACAGCCGGCCGCAGCCGACAGTGCGCCGGTGAACGAATCAGCTGAGAGTGTTATGACACAACTGGCTGTCTTGGTGAAGTGATGAGGGAGAGCAGGACTGCCTGCAGAGGCGATGCGGTAGCTGAGAGAAGAGATTAACCCGTTCGGTATCTACCGGCAGCAAATACGCCGGCACTGCGCCAGCGGACCGTGCACTCGTCGTGAGGCGATAAGATGCACTTAGCCGGTATCATGCACTTGCGCAATGCAGCTCAACTGCACTGCATGCTATAGAGACCAGCGACTGAACAGGAAAGCAGCTGAGATCGGTGACACAAAGAGGTTCATAACCTACGGGACACGTGGCGGTCCCCATAAAGACACACGTTTCAAATAATGTTAAGGCCACCAGACAGGGCGATATTACTTGGCCAACTGATACCTAGTCCTTGAACAGTGCTCCTGCTCCACTTCAACTTATCGCCAGGTGCAAAAAGCACCGACCCCAGCACAATGCAGGCACCAGCCCGAGCCCCTCCCATTTCACTACCTTATCACCCGGCGTCCCAGGACCGCGGCGCGACCCCTGACAGAACCCATGGCCTCCAGACCTGCAGTCGGCCCAGGTCTGCCAGCAGGGCTCACGGCAGGGAGGGGGCGTGACTCACCACCATAGCTGCTGTTGGGGACGCCTGACGCTGGCACCGGTGCACGAGGGAGCTGCGACTGGGAGGCCCGGCGCGCGCGCCGCTCGCTCCACCCCGAGCCGGACGAGTACTTTAGAGGTGGGCAAGACCGCTATAGCATGTGGATTGTGAGCGAACGTCGGCTTCAGACTTCACCGTCAGGGCTGATGATCGGAGTACGCAGCGTGTTTATGAAGCGCGGGGTTTATGTTTGCATGCAAAGCGGGTTTATGACTTCACAGGGGTTTGCAGGGGGTGTGTTCGTCGATCTGGGATATGACCGATGCCACTGCCAATCCCCGGTGCGTGCAGCGCCCACGGTGGTAACCTTCATTTTAGGGAGCAGCCAGAAGTCACTTGGGGCACTACCCGTGAAGTATATGGGTGGTTCACCAGCTCCGTGTTGTCAGCCGGAGATGCTGTCAGAGTTGCGGCGTGATGAGGCATGGCATTGTCGTGGTGAAGAATGAACAGGCCGTGTATCTCCTCTCGACGATGCCTGGCGATGGCCAAAAAAGGCTATATTCGTCAGCATCTGATGCCTAAACGGGAAAACTAGGTCGGTAGCTTTTTGGTGATAACGAGTTCCCCGTCATTTCACATTGTTCTTTCCTGAAGGGAATGGTCCACACTCGAAGATATTGAGACGAGTATCATACATGATGGGAAAAGCTCGCATGCAACCAATGATATGTTTTTTTAAGTGCAACGTGCTGCTCTAGATGACCAGAATTTCCTTTTTTGAAAATGCGCTGCTCAATGCGTCTTGGTTTGATTGCGTCATGGGACGTTTATGTGACGTCATTGCCGTTGCCAGAATGGCCGTACCGAAGTTGCCACTTAAGCGATATATATATATATATATATATATATATATATATATATATATATATATATATATATATATATATGCTGCTGTGTTCTTTTGTATACTTTCCTCGTGACTTTTTTAAGATGCACTCGCCTTCCCGGTTACGGTGCTTTTCTAGTCAGTCTATTTTCAGTCGCATGTCTGTCTTAACTAGGACTGTTCAATTGCCTGCATTACGCATCACAAAATGCGATGTCTGTTCAAATCCGCCCTTTTGTCCTCTTCCCTTCTTCATCCTGCACCCTCGCGACGCCTCGCATGTCTGGAACAGACTGCACGCGTCAGCCACGAATGGGCCGAAGTGCCAACCCAGTGGGGCCTCCGTTCGAGTGCCAAGCAAACACCCCGCAGAGGGGTCCCTGTGTGGCCAGTCTCGACGGCTGGATTCCCAGGCGCATGTAGTTCTTCCCCTACCGTTATCCATTCTCCTTCATCTCATAGCCCTTAAATGGTCATTGCTGGCCTGAAGGGCTCTAGTCCAAATAACCAAATAACCCAATGCTGATCAAAATCTGCATTTAACGCGTTAAGCTCGTTGGCAGCCAAACGCTGTTCATTGATGCGGTGATTCGTGTTGACGCAATCTAGACACAAACACGTCGATGGCCAGATTTTTACTGACAGTGTATACAGCACGGCAGTTGAGAAAGTGGAATTCGCCTGGCGTCTCTATGACATCTTGCATCTTGGAGTGATTTTAAAATAGGCGGCGCGAAAAAGTATGCACAGGTTCGCGTGCGGCAAGCTCAGATACGAGGAAATTGAAATGCTCAAGAAGAACAAAACTTGGGAATGCCGGGAGCATTCTTGAAAATGACTATCCCGGTTAAAAATCCATACAAATATTAAACATTGCCTTAAGCTTCAAGCTAAATTTTGCTGAGTCGGAGCATTTCGACGGACACAGTTTATATGCCGAAGATTCTAACGCTTTTAGTCCGAAAAACGGTAAATGCTTGTTGATATGGTATTTTCGGTCACTTGAACTTTAGTGTGACCTTCATGCCAGCCTGAAAATGTCAGGACTTCTTGACGGACAAATATTTATGCACTGAAGAGATTCTGACTGAAAGATATAATTCCGGAAAATTCGAAATCTGCCAGGAACTTTTGGGTGATACGGAGTTTTCCACCATTTAATTTTAATTTGACCTTGAAGCTAATCTTGAAAGGTAAGAACTTTAGGGTGGACGTTGATCTATCCACCAAAGGTTTGGTTGTTCGAAAACATAAAATCGTCCGGTAACTCAGGGTTGAGGGATTCGGAGTTGCTCGCCCTTGACCTTGAACGTTATCTTGAAGGTCATGACCTTGAGAGGTCAGAACTTTTCGATGTAAGTCAGCGTATGCGCTGCAAATAATTCGAATGTTTTGAAATCCGACATCAGCCAGTTGTCTTTTGATAATACAAAATTCCTATTCGTTCGAACTTGGGCTTCAGCGTGGAAGCCAGTGATAACAGAAAAAAAAACACATCGGACTTGGTGTTCGCGTGCCGTAGATGGCCATTTGAGGCGCGGCCATTGAAATCAAAACCGGCCATAAAGATGTATAAATCAGTCGCTTACTTGAATGGCATATAAGTATGCCAACCTTAAAAAACGGACACATGACGTCAGTGCTGAATCCCCAGCAGTGTCCACATGGGAGCTTGCGGTGCCGCGATTACTGGTATGGCCTGGCGGTGGCAAATGCGTGATCAACGACTTTGTCGAAGGAATAATCCACACGTTGTGTAAGGTGCGAGTACGACAGCCGCTCTCTGTGAAGGAAGTAGCTGATCCGTTCTCGGCGAGTATGAACATCTCAGAGATACTCACCTGCCGGGACAGGACACGGTGACGAGCATGAACATCACGGAGATGCTCAGCTGCTGAGACTGAACCCGACGGCACTGGACCAACACTGAGTCCGATTCTTTTCTGGCATTCCCAATCGAGAATTAAATATTGGCTTTCTGGATGAGCCTCAGTCTGGCGAAGATGTTGCAGAGGATAAAACCGATGAGTCAACTCAAATACAAGTTTGCATCAGGAACAGCGTGGCGATGGTGTAAAACGAAAGCCGGTCTTGAACTTTTGGATCACTTTTCGACTAAGATGTAGTCGTATAAAATGTAGCCAAGGTTAGTGGTCAAGTACAACTAGTTACTTATGTTGGTAACCATCCTTAATCTTCAAGTGACATTGAAAGTTGGTTATTACCAGCAAAACAACACAATATCCAACTACCCTTACCACTTTCAACGGGAAAACGCAGTGTCCCAAAACAATCAGCTTTTATTCCTCGTCAAACCACACCTCACGTATCACAAAGTCCGAGGCATTCCGCACACGGTCTCCTAAAACCATCGGAGCTTTTGTTCCTCGTCAAACCACACGTCATGCGCGACAAAGCCCGAAGCACCCCGGACACACCAGCCGAGAGGCTCCGAAGAGGCCGCGCAGGGCGGGCTCCCCGCTCCTAATCCACGCACCGCACAGCCACTGCACTACTCAACTGCTCGCCGCCTCCGACCCCGACCTGGCACCAGTAAGCTCACGCCGCCCCCCCCCCCCCCCCCCCCCTCCTCCCCCTTTCCTTCCCACGGCGACCCTCACGCCGAGCGCTGGCCCAGCCGACGGCGGCCATTAAAGCTGCTTTGGCGCGGCGCCCGCCCTCCGGAGAGCCCCGCGCTGGTCGGGGCACGTGGCTCTCACTCCCCGCCGCCGCCGCTGCGCCCTCGGCGAGGCCCCGCACCCAGGCTTCCCACATCCCTCTCCGTGAGAGGCAGCGGACTGCCTCACACGACGGAGCCATATGCCACCGCGGCGGGGGCGCCGCGTGGCCCGCGCGGCGGGGGCGGGCCGCGGAGCAGCGTCACGTCACGCCCAGCAGAGGGGAGCGGCCGCCGCGCGGCCCAGCGGCCGAAACTGCGCCGTCATGCGGCTGTGCGCATCCCAGACCAGCACGGCGGGCTGGCACGTGACCAGCACGTGGGTTGCAATGCACGGCCTGCGTCACACGCAGTGCCGTCAGATTCTGACCAGAGGCAGTCAGAGTCTGACCAGAGGCAGTCAAAGTCTGACCAGTCAGTCAGAGTCTGACCAGAGTCAGTCACAGGCAGTCTCACTCCGCCTCTTAAGCGCCGTCTCGTTACACGAGTGTTTTCACGTCTCGACCAGCTTCAGGGACCGTTCGCATGTGCTGTCGTTCATTAATGAAGTCTGCGCAGTACACGTCCAGGACCAGCCACTTGCCCAAAGCGTCTCAAAGACAGCCTAGACTTACTTTCAACCGGCAGCAGACCCGCCGCCCCACAGCACATCCTCACTGAACACCCAGCGGAGGACACAGCAGCAGATGGGCCTGTCAGCATCACACCCTGGCAACATAGCACTCCACCACACCGTCACAGTCACACTGCTGAAGTAGCCATGACTCCTTGGAGCGACCCCTCTTCTCGGATACCCTTGTCCTAAACAATCCTGAGGGCTACCCTCAGGACAGGCGGCGCAAAGACGGGCCCCATTAAAGCCTCGGTGTCGTCTGGAAGCAGTCGCCGTTGCGCTCCGCGCGAGTCGCAGACGTCGTTACACTGCGCACGCGGCATAACGCCGGCAGGACCTGTCGCTGCCCGCAAACCGGCACGTGGGTCCGCCTGGGCTTCCCATCGGAGGCCACAGACTGGGGAGTTACAGCGCCTCGTAAGGAGAAGGTCTGGTCTAGCACTGCTGCGTGTGAAGATTGCGTAGGGAGTGGTTGTTTGCTGACATAATGTCGCCAGCCCAAGGAAAGTTGGAAATCATACGAAACAATTTCTTCCTTTACGCCTCATCCAGATTGCAAGCGTGAAGTTCAGCCAGTGAGGATTCCAGGCGAAGGTTGAATAACGCAGAACTGAAGCATAGCGACTGAAATAAAAGCTACGTACATTAAATACTATACGTATGAAACCCTCTTACAAACTGATGTTCCCTAGACCTTCCACCTACAGTACACTCGGCACGTCATCACCCTACTCACAGATCATCCGTCACAGTGACCCTTGCCCTCCACACAGATGGCCACTGCCCGTCACTAGCAGTCGCGGCGACCGTTGACGGTCACCGATGGCAGTTGACGGGTGATCACCGGTGGCTGCTGGCGGTCACCGGCGATCACCGATGGTCGTTGACGGGTCACCACCGGTGGCACCTGACGGGTCACCACTGGTGGCCACTGACGGGTCACCACCGGTGGCTATTGACGGGTCACAACCAGGGGCTGTTGACGGGTCACCATCGATGGCCGTTGACGGGTCACCACCGGTGGCCGATGACGGGTCACCACAGGCGGCTATTGACGGGTCACCACCGGTGGCCGTTGACGGGTCACCACCGGTGGCCGATGACGGGTCACCACCGGTGGCCGTTGACGGGTCACCACCGGTGGCTGTTGACGGGTCACAACCAGTGGATGTTGACGGGTCACCATCGATGACCGTTGACGGGTCACCACCGGTGGCTGTTGACGGGTCACCACCGGCGGCTGTTGACGGGTCACCACCGGCGGCTGTTGACGGGTCACCACCGGTGGCCGTTGACAGGCGCGGGCCGGCCGGCCAGCCGACTGGCGGCCGGGCGCGTGACCGGTGAGCCGTCCCTCTCGGACGCGGCCGCCGTCCGGCAGGCTGGACGCCGCGGCGTGGAGAACCTGCAACACGGCCGGCCGTCAGCGCCGCCGCGCCCGCCGCAGCCGGCGCACCAGCCTCGGTGAACGGCAAGCGCACAGCCCGTGGACGCCTCGGCACTGCAGAAGGTTAGTGAAACGCTCGCGCTCCCAGAGCTTCATCACCATTGATACGAATGATGAATCTATGGGTACGTGATGGCAAAATTCGACCTTCAATGATAGTCACTGATCCAGAGACATCGATATTAACATTTTTTATGTGAATGTATCTGGATACGCCGTCAAATTGCCGGCTCATCCCGGGATGCCGAAGGATCATTATTATTGGGTATGCATGGCGACACCATTACTATTCAAATGGCCTTGGTAACCAGATCAGGAGCATCCGTAGGTGTCGCTATATATTCGGAGAGACCTCGTGTTGTACGAAGTGAGCCCTACGCTCTGTTGTCGGCCGCGTCGATACAACTGCACAAGCTGACGGTTCGCTCGGTAAAAATGCGCACCTACCGACCACATCTCTGTACTCGAGACGTCCACGCGCCGGCATGGAGAGAGGAGACATGCCATCTGAGTCCATGCATCCCACATCGCCTGCTACGGACTTTTGTGGATGTTCTCGCTCAAGTCGCGCAAGCTGTGCGTGTCACACAATGCTCTGCGTCGCCACACTGACACAGCTCTGGGGGGTCAGCCTTCCGCCCGTTCTCGAGAAGCAGTGCGATGCATGCGATGCAAGCATACGGAACTCACTTCTGAATTCGATTGGCTTCGGGCTATTCAGTCCTATTTGGGACACTTAAGCACTAAAAAGCGGATAAACCGTGCAAAATACATAGAATAAAGCGATGAGGAAAGATGAAAAAATATTCCACAGGTTTCTACCAAAGCGCGATGCGCAACTGAATCGCACGGTGTAACCCTGTCGGGAAGCGATACGGCTGAGGTCGAAATGGCTCGTTGCTCATTCTGCTGAGGACAAGCTACTGTACGCCTGGGAAGAGCCGCACGTGCGCACACGGTGACAGGATCCGATGGACAAAGGATGCGTTGACCTGGCTTCCGAACCGCATGCTCCCTCTGTTAATGGTTTGCGCGGTCACGCAAGAGAACATATCACCACGAATAACGCATGACAGAGAAAGTGCAGGGCTGGAACTGCAAGAAATAAGCTGAAGAGATGCACAGCGTTACGCGGAGTGACGTGTGAAGGTCAGGCAACAGCGTTACCACATCGAAAGCGCGCCGAGCAGCTTCAGCACGTGGAATCGAACCACGGGGACAAACGGGTCAGCCCTCAGGCGGTGGCCTCTGCCGGGCGGATCTGCAGGCTTAAGTTCTTGGCGCCGCTGACAGATGTCGCGCTACTCACGGCCGCGCCGCGCGGGCGAGCTCGGGCCCAATCAGGGCCAGCACGGGCGAGCTGCGCGCGCGCCGCCGGGGGCTCGGAAGGCCGCAAACGGCGACGGCGGCGGGTGGCGGCGACGACGGCGGCGGTCGCGCGGCCGGCGTGGCGCGCGCCACGTCCCGCCGACGTCTGGAGGTCAGAGCGGCACAGTCATAGGCGCGCCCAGGGACGCCCTGACGAAGGCAAGAGCGCCTTTGACAGGACTGAAGTTATTTTCAATGACGCCTTTGGAGGGAAATTGTCGAAGTCATCGCTCTGAAGGGTACGTTGCCGAGGTAGAGTTAACTGAAGTCAAACAAACTTTAACATGTCCAGAGTTCTGCTACCGTCACGGGATCTTGACCAAATTTGGTTCGGGCGTTGAGGTGTTGCGCCTGTCACGAAATGAAATTTCATTCCATTGGCTGTTGCAAATCGCCAAATATTGCATAACCACTGCCAGAAAAGTGGCACAACTACCTAAATAGATTGCAGTTATCATGCATTTTTGTCCGATCCGCAACGTGCGGATTCTCGCTTGGTATGGATGGATGAATAATTTTGTTGGCTCTTCACTTTTATGATTTCTGGAATGTTGCATCTGGAGCATTTTCATACCTTACCGCAAAAACGTCACTGAGCAACAAACTAAAAAAGGACCAAACAGACCTATTTAGAAACCCATTTTTAACACGGTGCCTGCCGAACAAAAGCTGGCAACACACCGGGTGCTTGTTATTTTAATATCTGTGATTCATTTGTGTAGTTTACGAAGCATCCAAGAGATGCCGCCAGCGTCCGTACTCACGCGGAGAATCGTTTCAGAACTTTGACCGCGGGTGAGGGCGAGTGCATTGAGTTCACACGCTCTGAGGAGGGGGAAACTGGGGCTACGCTCCGTGCCGACCGGGCGGATAGCCGAAAACCTCTTCAGAGGGTAACCGAGGGATAACTCACATGAACAGGATACTACTTCCACTACTACTGCCTGCACTTCCACCGCTACTACTACTGTCGCTTCTGCAGTAGCGCAATCTCCTGGCTGCGAATCCCCTGGCGCGCCTCGACTACCCGCCGAGACATGCGTGCCATTGGAGCTTTACGAAGCACTCAGCTGCTGAGGCTATATGGCGTCGCCTGCCTCTCACCCTGGCAGGAAGGACGGGCACCGCGGGGAATCGAGCCCCGTGCCTCTGGTTTCCCAGACGCGCAGTGGTTAACAGACGACGCTAACAGCAGACGCGTTAACCACTACACTACCGGCACCCTACCCGCCGAGAGGGACACCTCACATCTCTATGCAGCCGCTGCCGGCGCACTGCGCTCACACCACCCCACCCCACCGGATTCGGACCTCGACCAACAGCCATCCAAACATGAGGACGGTCCGGGAGTCGGACCTTCAGCACGACCGTGCTGCTGCTTGACGCTCCGTTCCCTGCGGCTGACGGGCTATCCCACGGCAGCGTTCTTGTGCCGTGCGGCGATCTTATGCTTTCTCCAACGATCCCAATGTTTCTTGTGCTTTGGAGCCGTTTCGTTACAATTCAAGTTATAAATCCCGTTGTCAAGCTAGGTCCTGAGATCGTGACAAGCTTCATGCATTACTAACGCTTAATATTATTTTACTTAATTTATATATATATATATATATATATATATATATATATATATATATATAATATCAAATATATATAAATAAAATAATACTTTTCCTTACTTAATATTATTATCATATAATTAATACTTGATGTATTATAGGCAGTTACTGGAGAGTTTGTCGGCTTACGTCGCCTGGGCGCTGACTGCCCACCGGAATTGCCCAGCAGAACTGCCTGCACCGGAACTGATCCGGATATCGGAGCGTACTCCGCGGTCGGAGCCAGACGACGCCAGGCTGTGTCGGGCTACTCAGGAGTCGGATGAGGAGTGACTCAATAGACCGCGAGTCACGGACGCAGTCCATCTCACTGGGCTGGAGGCTGGAGTGGACGACTGGCGCGCCTGAATATCGCGCGGTGTACGAGGCGTCCGCGTGAAACATCGCATACAGCGCGAGGCATCCGCGTGCCACGCATCACCCCGAGTGCGAGGCATCCACGTGTGACACATCACCCCGAGTGCGAGGCATCCGCGTGCGACACATCACCCCGAGCGCAAGGCATCCGCGTGCGACACATCACCCCGAGTGCGAGGCATCCGCGTGTGACACATCACCCCGAGTGCGAGGAATCCGCGTGCGACACATCACCCCGAGTGCGAGGAATCCGCGTGCGACACAACACCCCGAGCGCAAGGCATCCGCGTGCGACACATCACCCCGAGTGCGAGGCATCCGCGTGCGAGGCGTCGCGCGGAGTGCGAGGCATCCGCGTGCGACACATTACCCCGAGTGCAAGGCATCCGCGTGCGAGGCATCGCGCGGAGTGCGAGGCATCCGCGTGCGACACATCACCCCGAGTGCGAGGAATCCGCGTGCGACACATCACCCCGAGTGCGAAACATCCGCGTGCGAGGCATCACGCGGAGTGCGAGGCAGACATGTCGGTCGCACCAAGCGTCAAAGCCCGCACCTTGGCTGACCTCCGACCTCTGCGGGCTGGGTAAAGCCATCGGGTACCGCCGGTCAGACAGCACCGAGGTCAATCACCCTGACGGACCCACGGGCGCACGGCCTGTACCGCAGCAGCAGCCGCCGTGCGGAGGCCTGGTGCCCACTGTATGAGCCTACTGGGTCCCCGACATGATCCAAATCTCTAAGTCGACACCCTGTGTTGGTCCCTGTGCCGGACGACTCGACCCGGCCTCATCGCTCCGAAGACCTGACCTGAACCCCTGCCTGCGGAAGCCAGTGGCCTGAAAGCTTCGTGAACTGACGTGAATCCCTGGCTGTGCGTTCCGCTCTGATCCCGTGGCTCCGTCTCCTGGCCTGAATCCCTCGCAATGTAGCCTACCCCGAACCCCTGACCTGACCTGAAATGACATCACTGGCTGAGTGATTTGACCTGAAACCCTGATGGTGTGAACTGACCTGAAAACCTCGTTGCACGACCTGACCCGAATCAGCCAGCTGCATGGCCTGACCTGAATCCCTGGTTGCGCGAGCGAACCAGCACCTGGCTGCGCCAGTTGCAGACGCTGGGGAAGAGGCTGCGGTCCACGGTGACGGCCTCCAGCGCTCGCAGCACGTCCAGGTCCGCGGTGGTGGGCTGGCGGCTGTGAAGGAGGCCGAACTCGCTCAACTCGACAATCGCCTTCAACTACGGGACGCCACTCGCTGGCGACACTCATTCATTGACAATGAAAGTTAACAAAGGCGGTTGGAACGGCGGTATCATTGGCGCCTTCACAAGGCTGCTTACCGAAGGTTAAAACTGCTTCGGATGTGTAGTCCTCTACTACCGCTCTGCAGCAATACGGCACGAGATTTCGCCACACATGACAATGTTCACCGACGGAGATTCTGGTGAACATTTGCTGATAATGACGGCACGTGAACAACCTTGGCCATCAGTTCACAGCGCCAGCTCCCCCTTCGGTGAACTGGCCCGCGTATGAACTTCTGGCCAACCCGTGCACGAGCTGGCCAGCGTACAAAATTCTGGCCCGTGTACGAACTCGCTGTACGGACAGGTTAGGGACGCCAGTTGCCATAGACTGACCCGCAGATGAACACCTCGGGCGCCTCGTCGGGCGTGGCTGGCGAGCCCGAGCCGGCCGACGAGGGCGGCGTGTAGAACTCCTCGCCGTCGCTGGCGTCGCTCTCTAGCTCCGCCGGCAGCGGCTCCGAGCACTGACGCTGGCGCAACAGCTCGCGCAGCCGGCCGCGGCGCGGCGCCGCCGGCGGCGGCGGCGGGGGCGCCACCTCCACCGCCTCCTCCTCCAGCGAGCGCTCGTCCAGCCGCAGCTCGTGCAGATCCCGGCAGAGCGCGCTGACCGGCGAGAGGGGCGCGGCGCGCGGCGTGCGGCGGCTCGGCGGCGCCGGTGGGGCCGGCGGCGAGGGGCGGCCGGCCGCCTCCAGCCGCTGCGCCGCCTCCTCCAGCTGCGCGGTCTGCAGAGCCGGGCGATACCGTCAGCGCCCGCACTCAGCGCGGCGGAGTGTTTGGAAGAGTACCGGCAAGGATTGCTGCTCCCAGCCATGGGCCAATTGCCGGCGGCGTTGCATACAGTCGACATCCGGTCCGGTGCCCGGACTGAGCCGCACAACTGCGTAGGTCGGAGACGTCGCAGTCTACAGCACAGGGTGCGTTCGTACCGCCCCCATTCCAGGCGGTCGGACGGCGTCGTTGAGCAGCGCACATGATTCGCCTCAGGGAGCAGCGGATGACGTCATCGGACCACACCCCCAGTCTGCTGCCCACCCAGGGCCCTGATCCGGGCTCAGGGACGGCAAGCACCACCACCGCAGGCGCGGAGTGAGTGATGCACGAACGCCAACGTCGAGCCCAGCTCTACAGACCGACCACAGCATTTCAGACTTGACGCTCCGCACCACCAACACGTCACCGCACAATCTCTCCCGACATCCGTGCGGTGACTCACGTCCGCGCCACCCACAACGGGCCGCGGTCCTCCCACGACCGCCGCCGCCACCCTCACCGTGTCGAGCACCGCGCAGCCCTGCCGGTGCAGGTGCTCCTCGAGCGCCTGCAGCCCCGCCTGGGAGCCGATGTCCAGGTGCCGGTCCAGGAACGGCCAGTACTCGCGCCACTCCACCGCCAGCTCGGACGCCAGCCCGCTGGCGGCGGCCGGGCGCGCGCCGACGTCACAGGCGGCACACGGCCGAGGCGTGACGCCACGTAACCCCCGTGACAGGCACGTGACAGACTCGTGAAGGACTCTTGATAGATGGTGGCAGACTCATGACGGAGTGATGAGAATGTGACAGAAGCATGACACACTCGCGATCGACTCGTGAGAACGTGGCAGACGCATGACAGACTCGCGACCGACTTGTGAGAACGTGACAGACACGTGGCAGACACGTGACAGGCTTAGTTACACTCATGACAGACCGTAACGGACTCGTGATCGATTCGTGAGAACGCGACAGACATGTGACAGACCCGATCACAGACTCGTGATCGACTCGTGAGAACATGACAGATCGTGACAAACTCGTGACCCCCGGCCAGTCACAACAGCGCTCAGGCAGGCCTACGCTGCGTGAGGAGGACGGCTGGTGGCTGTCCTGTCCAACCACTGATCAGCCCGTCGCCTGACACCCTCATCACCGCCGTTCCACCGTCCAGTTTCGAGCATTCCCCGCCACCGTCCCCGTGCGTGCACCTGGCCCACAGCCGTCTCTTCGGCGGCTGACCTCTGACCATCCTCCCGGGCTCCACGTCCAAAGCCCACCTCCCGGAAAGCAGTCCGCCCAGTCGCTGCACACGCGCGCATTCATCCGCACGCGCGCTGGCATGCACCCACGTGTGTGCATTCCATGCATATGCACACTTGCAGATCCTCGCACACCCATGCACACCTCGCGTGTACAAAGGTGTCAGAGCGCACGGGGGCCGGCTACTGAGAATCCAATCCGAGGGCCAAATCGGTTCCGACATGCTTTGCATGGCCGAAACACGAACGCAGCCCACACCTGCCAAGTCACAGCGTCCAGACCCCGCCATTCAGTGGCGGCCACGCTGACGCCAACGCCCGCCGACATCACACCGCACCACACCCCGCCGCGCCAACACACGGAGACAGGGCCGGAGACGGAGCACGGAGACAGAGCCGGAGACGGAGCACGGAGACAGGGCCGGAGACAGAGCACGGAGACAGGGCCGGAGACAGAGCACGGAGACAGAGCACGGAGACAGAGCACGGAGACAGAACCGACCTACGGGCGGCGTTCACTCACCGGCCGACCCGTTCCCAGCCCTTGCTGGCGTCGCTCAGTCGAACGTCGTCCAGGGCGTGCGCCTTGCGGCTGCGGAGCGGGCTGACGCTCAGCGGCGAGCGCCAACGGCGGTGGAACTCGTCCGCCAGCTGGCGCGGCATGGGGCCGGCCCAGGCGCGCGGCCGCAGCGGCGAGCCCACCGGCGAGCCTAGCGGCGAGTCCGGACTCTGGCGGCGGGAGGCGGTAGCCAGGTAACAGCGGGGTGTAGTGTGGAGTTCGGACTCTGGCGGCGGGCGGTGGAAGTCAGGTAACACCGGGGTGTGGCGAGGAAACCAGACTCTAGCGGCGGCAGTCAGGCAACAGCGGGGTGTAATGTGGGGTCCGCGCCCCAACTCCTGCTAGACGAAGGAGAAAACCAGGGCACGGCATGTTGTCTGATTATTACAATCATAATCATGAAGTTAATTTTACCGATAAAGAATGAATGATACACAATGCAATGAGAAAGCAAGCGAGGGGAGTAAGAGCACCGACTTGCACCGGTGCTGTTCCGGCCGACCCACCCAGCTGGGGTCAAGGTCACCGACCTTCACCGGAGCGAGCGCGCGTCACTGACCTGCACCGGGGACTCCCCGACTGGCCTGCCCTGCTGTGGCGAGCAGGGCGGCGCCAGCACGGGCGGCTCGCAGCCGTCCGCGTCTGCCAGCACCTGCACGTAGTACGGGTCCTGCAGCAAGAACGCCAGCTGGCGCGCCGCGTCCGCAGACTCGCCGCCCTTGCTTTGCTTGCAGATCACCTGCCGGGCGCGCACGGCGTCACGCCGGCTGGTGCCGCGTCACGGCGTCACGTCACACGGCGACGCGTCACACGGCGTAACGTCACATGGCGTAACGTCACACGGCGTCACGCTGGCTGGTGCCGCGTCACGGCGTCACGTCACACGGCGCCACGCCACACGGCGCAACGTCACATGACGTTACGTCACACGGCGTCACACCCGTGCCGACTGGTCCCGCCAGGCCAGGCCAGCTCCCGACGGCGGCGGCCGCTGCACCCGCGGCCCATCTGCAATCCCAATGACTTGTCCCTGTGTCCGAACAGCTCGAGCCGCTGTCCGCTGTCTCCCTGGTCTGCTGCGCGTCTCTGTGACCCGTTTGAGCGCTTTTGACCCGCCCGTGTCTCTCGGTTGTCCCCTGTCTCGCTGACCCGTGAAGACCGTCTTACTGACCCTGTCTTCAAAGACGACTGTCCCTTCCGCCTCTCATCCATCCTCGTGTCTCTCAGCTCTCTTCGCACGTTGGCATCACTCCTGGTTCCCTGGCCAATCCCTTGCCTCTGCGCCAGCGCGCGTCCCTGACCTGCCACTCTGCTATGACCGCTTCCTCGTCCCTGCGCCGCACCCGCGTCCCTGACCTGCCACTCCGCTATGACCGCTTCCCCGTCCCTGCGCCGTACCCGCGTCCCTGACCTGCCACTCCGCTATGACCGCCCCTCGCCCCTGCGCCGCACCCGCGTCCCTGACCTGCCACTCCGCTATGACCGCCCCTCGCCCCTGCGATGTACCCGCGTCCCTGACCTGCCACTCCGCTATGACCGCCCCTCGCCCCTGCGCCAGCGCGCGTCTCTGACCTGCCACTCCGCCGTGACCGCCCCCGCCCCTGCGATGTACCCGCGTCCCTGACCTGCCACTCCGCTATGACCGCCCCCTCGCCCCTGCGCCAGCGCGCGTCCCTGACCTGCCACTCTACCGTGACCGCCCCTCGCCCCTGCGCCGTACCTGCGCCCCTGACCTGCCACTCCGCTATGACCGCCCCTCGCCCCTGCGATGTACCCGCGTCCCTGACCAGCCACTCCGCTATGACCGCCCCCTCGCCACTGCGCCGCACTCGCGCCCCTGACCTGCTCGGGCGTCTCGCCGAACTTGTTGCGGACGTCGCGCTTGCAGGCCGGGTGCCGCACCAGCTCGCGCACCACCTCCACGTGACCGAGCTTGGAGGCCAGGTGGAGCGGCGTCTCGTACGTGCCCTTGGTCGGCACGTTCAGGTAGAGGTCGGTGACCCGCCTGGCGCGCGCGGATGCCACCTGCCGAGGTCAGAGGTTACAGGTCAGATTCGCTGACTGGCGACGCCTGGCAAGAGGGACATGCGCGGACAAGACACGCCAACAGGAGTAAACAGCTGGCCCAGGCAGGCATGGGCCCAAGCGGACGGACGGTGGCGGTTGGATTCGGATGGAGGCGGTTACCTTGGAGACCCCTAGCCCACAGAATATAGTGCTGATGGTGTTTAATCCAGTTGTTGGTGCGCAGGCGGGAGTCGGCTAACATTCGTCATTTCACCTTTTGCCACTCACATGTCGCACCCACCGACAAGCCCCAAACGCAGGCTTCATTGGCTAGTCAGGGCCCATCGCTTATCGTTCCGGAGCGGCCTGTGACAGGCAACCTGCACTTGACATGGTAATTACAGTTCGGGCGGCGTCCCTGGCGTACGTTCATTCGCACCGGGGCCCAGGGCCAAGCCTCTGACATGGCATACTGCCAACCATCCAGAGGCCCATCCAGGACATGCATCCAAACTGCACATCAGCATTCTTGGTCAGCTGCAGTCAACTGTGCAAGCACGTCCTGGCCACGCATACTCTGAAACACGGCTCGCGCACACGACTTCTAGCATGGGTGGGTACAGCGCCTGACATACAGCCCTGGCACATAACACGCATGTCGCCCGAGTACAGCCTTTGACGTGTAGAACCAGCGCCCACCGCCCATCGTCCAGGTGAATCCTCTGACACCCCCGCCCGGTTCGCATCAGGCTCTACCCACATCCAAATAATTATCTTCCTGGTACACTCTCCATCTTGCATTATATCTCACTACCATTCTATCATTGACTAAGACTACGACATATGGCTACTGACTATGACTATAACATGATTGTTGACTACTATCATTGATATGACTATCATTCTATCATACTATCTGGACTCGAATCCCAGGTCCACACTCTGACACACACCGCTCGTCCATCGTCCCGGTCCAGCCGCTGACATCGCGTCCCCGCCCGCTCCGGGCCGCTCGTCCCGGCTCAGTCTCGGACCCACCTCGGGCTCATCGTCCGGGTAGAGGATGCGGAAGAAGCCGGGCTCGGCGACGGCCTGCAGCAGGCGGCGGCAGACGGCCGGCCGGCCGTGCAGCGCCGCCAAGTGAAGCGCGTTGTGGCGCGGCCCCTCGCGCAGCAGCGCCGGCGCGTCGCCGCTGCTGACCAGCAGGCGCGGGTTGCGCTCGACGGCCGCCGCCACGGCCGCCTCGTCGCCGTGCTCCACCAGCGAGCGGAACGCCTGCCGAAGGCGCACAGGGCGCGTGACGCCGGCGGAGGGCGGCCACAGGGTGGGGGGCACCGCGTAAGTCGGTACCGCACGTGGACAACGTTATTGTTTCAGTCTCTTTTCGCTGTCTGTACTCATGGGCCGACAATGGAAACATGTCACGGTTCAACCACGTAAATCTGAAGTCCGAGCTCAGCGGCAATGATGAAATCTGGAGTATTAACCCGAAACTGGCTGGCCACTGCACTACATACATCCCGCCCTCCGCTGCCAGCGTGAGGTTTGACACGAAACGCTCCTGCCCCCCCCCCCCCCCTGACACGGAGCCCCCAGGTCACAGTCTGCTGCAGTCTGCCGTCCCAGCCCGCTCGGCACGTGGCGGTAGTCACGCGCTCCCGGTCTGACCGACGCCCCCGGCTCCCGCCTGCGCGAGGCCCGACGCCGACGGGAGCCGGCCGAGCGTACAACGACGGTCCCGCCCCGCCCCGCCCCGCCCGAACCTCACCTGAAACTCCGGCCGGGTGGGGTTCCTGAAGGGGGACGGCTTCTCGCCGCCCGCGGCGGCGGCCGGCGCGGCCGCGGGCGACGTGGGCTCGGCCGGCTCCAGTCTCTGGCCGCTGTAGACGGCCGCCAGCTCGCGACACGTGAACTGCTTGAAGCGGGCCGTCTTGTGCGTGCGCACCGCCGCCTGCACCTCCTGGATGCTGGTGCACACCAGCGGAACATCTGCCGGGGAGCACCGCATCCGGTGCCGGGTGTGACCTCACAAATCGGCGTCCAACGGCTCAGCGGAAACTCATCTTTCGACGAGCGCGGTCGGAGGCTCCTATTAAGAGCACAGTACGCAAAGATCACCGCACCAGCGTCTGCTGCTCTACACGAGGCCGTGCTCGGGACCAGCAGTCACATGGGATGATCATCGAACCAGCGCCACAAACGCTGCACCTACATAGTTTCATATGCAGCAGCTCCGGCGAATGGTCCAAATAGGCCAAGCTGCCCTGTAACTAAAATGTTGCTTGCTTGTGTTGTCTCATACATAAATATGTTGAACTTGCTCTAGAGTGCTATTCAGAGTGCTATTTAGTACCTAGAGCACTATTCAGTAAGCATTTAGGCATAAGATATTATAGCCAGTTCCACTAACACAAAACTTTGGAGCTGTAATTTGCTGAACACAATAAGTCTTGCAATGAATATAAATCAGATACCCTACCACTTCCATGATTTGCTTCTGCTCCCTGAAGTGAATAACTGATGAGAAATGAATGCTGAAACACCCCTGATCGTCACAAGAGACATGAGGAGGATATATGCATGGCTGAATGTGTGTGAGTGGTACAGTATTGAAGATTCAACTTACCCTGCAATTGCATTTAACATGATAAGCTCACATGCTGTCAAGGCCAATCAGCATGTGAGCCAGTATGTGAATATGTACTGAAACAGGTATAAGTGACTTGTGACTGCCACCAGCAGACTGGTAGCCAGGTATTTTGGGAAGCCAAAGACCAAGATGACCATTACCACAGCACAGCAAAAACAAACACAAAATGATGCATTGCTCTTTGTGCATACCCACCCATACAGACACTAAATTATTGACAAACCAGAGTTTGTGGACATGGCACCACTTACCCTCTGGTCTTTGGGCACCTTCAGGCAGACCTAGGTTGACACCATAAAATGTTGATGGATGATTTCCAGCACTGAAATAAGAGAAAGTCCATTGCTCATTATCTGGTAACATCATCTGAACATCTGTACCATTTATCAAAAGGCTATAATGACACAATCAGAGCAGACATCAAAGCACCATATTGATTTCATTATTCCTGCCAAGGTAAATGTCATGTAAACAGGAAACTATAGTTCTGGGGCAATGAATGGTGTGCCCATTTTGCAGTCATTTTGCAAACAATCAATGCAGACCAGGGTACTGTTTCACAAAATAGGTTGGAAGGGGCTGGGGAGGACAGAATGGTGAAAAATTGTATCATGAAACCTACCCCAAAGACACACTTCTTTTCAAAGTTAGGGGTAGGGGTGAGCAAGGGCTGAAGCTCAAGAGGAGCAGGGGTGTGGCACTGCAACTGAATAGAAAACTATACCCTGGCTCTATGCTTAAGCATAAGAAGTGTTTAATGAAAGTGTAAGGACATAAAGATATTGGGGCAAAAAGGAGCCACTGGGGTCCATCAAGGCTGACCTACCTCAAGTTTCACATGCATTCTCTAAACTCATCTTAGCACCCGACCTGTCTGAATTTAGCTATAAATGACATTCTTAGACCTTTAGAGCTGGTCCAAATGATTTCTAAATGTTACTGGAGGGGTATCTGGATCAACAAAATGCTGAATCAACAAAACAGTTAGAGCAGAGTAAACTGTAATTTGCACCAGTAGTCCTTTCATCATGGTACGGTTTTTCATGAATTTCTTGTTATCATGATTGATGATGATGATTTGGGCTTTGGGGCGCACTGACTACATTGGTCATGTGGCGCCCATATAATGATTGATGGCTGCCTTTTGTTTTTTATTCATGCTTCTTATATAATGCAACTCATAACAGGCCATGGGTCAAGACAGTGACATTTGCACCATAATTCAGGTAATTCCAGGAGTTTTGTAACTCACTGCCAGCCTGCAAAAATAACATTTATTGCACTGGAAGCTGAAGTACATCAGTGCTTCAAACTTTGTGCTTGTGTGTACTGAACAAAAGCCAGCCAAGCTTGCATTGACTTCAACCATTACTCTTGCAAAAAATTTTTGCAGAATATCTTTGCATGATACTGCCTTTGTAATATCATAGCTTCAAGAAGCATTGGCCCTGCATGCATTTCAATTAATGGTGACTGTGCCCAACTGAGAGCTTACATTTATGAGGGAAATGCATTGAAATTGTTGCCAATATTTTCATTCTGGTACAGATCCCACATAACATGCATTGCCATGTTTTTAAAGAAAAGTTATAAAAATTCTTTTCTTTCATTTTTTGCCCAATGCTTCAGAAATTTTGGGTTCACTTCATTAAGATCATTTAGGTGGTGAGACCAAATCCAGCAAAACTTTCAGTACAATATCAAAATTACTTACAATGCATGGTTGTAAATAGGCCACAGCTGTCGGTATTGTTGTCAGTGGAAAATGTGGGGCATGTTTACATGCTTTCACATTTTAGTTAATCATGTCCTACCAGTAACAGCTTTAGCTCTCTGGGTCCAGACTACAAAATATGTATGTTGCTCTGACCATGTCCTGCCTGGCAGCAGCATCACTGAAACAATTCCAGTATTTGTGCTCTATAGACTTTGGCATTGCGAGTTCAGTGCATAGTACTACCCATTTCAAACCAAAGGGAGCCAATTTTTCAGGGAAATAACAATGTTGTAAGGGTAATCTCAAGACAAAATACTCTGAAGACATTTTTCAAGCAAAAAACATTACAGAAATCAGAGCAATTTAGTATGACCTCACTTCAGCACATGAGAGCTCAAGGTTCTGGTCACTGATGGGTGGGTATTTTTGGGTATTTGGGCAGAGGGTATTTTTGCAGACTGGAGAAGGGTGAGTTATTCCATTCTTTTCACCATTTTCACTCTATTACAATTCCAAAATTACACAAAAACAGTAGCAGTGAGTCAGAAAGAGCAATAATCATGAGTTCAGCACAATCAACACTGAAAGACATGGTGTAAGGTAACGTGACCATCCTGGGAATGGCTCAATTATGGTCACAACACACCTGCATATACAGTCAGGTAAATAGGTGGAAACTATCTCCCACTACCTTAGATTGCCATTTTCAAATCAACAGGTTGTAAGCATATCAACAGGCGGGCCCATGGTGACGTATGGTCTGCACAAGCGGCTCAAACTGACTTAAAATAGGAGCATGTGGCACGCATCATCCATGATCATGCGCCTACTTGTAGGTCCACGCAACGTTTCATTACCTTCTGGCATCATCTCCTTCGCTCATGTCAATGTACTTGTTATGCCAGCTGTGGACGTAATACAGGAAACTGCGAACGAATAGTTTGTCCAGGGGCGCTGCCCTGCATTACGCACCCCCCTTAACGTCTTCACAGAAATGACGCGTTGTTTAAAAATATCACAGTTTCTGCCTTTCATGCGTTTGTTTTGTATGATACCAAACCTACCAAATAGTTAAAAAACTTCATGCGCAAAAAGACCTCTGTACCAGCCGACAAGAATGATTTTTCTGTGCGATGTCGTTCGACGTTGGATATGCCCACTTTATCTCAGTGGGCCATTGCAAATAACACTAAAACATGTGAGGTGGTCAAACAGACTTCGTTTGAAATCGATTAACCTTTGAGTTCACTTCTAGGGGGTGTCTCATCGCTATGAGTGGATTCAGCTTTCGAGTTACGTTACGTTACGTTAGGAGCCAAGTTACAACAAGCTCACAAGTCTTGCTGCTCGATCTGCGGGGTTCGCGAACCGAAGGAAACGCTCTGTGCTTCTTCGGCATGTATAGGACATCTAGGAATGCGACGATATGTAACCCTCAATCAGGGGCGACGACACTATGGGGACGTTGGGAACGGGTTGCGGACACAGGTGCAATAGAAAGAAAGTGCCTATAACAATTTTTTCGCGTGATTAAGGTGTCGCTTAAGTTCGTCAGGATGAAGTGAATGAGGTATTAAGTTAGTACCAGAAAAAGTTTGCAATGAAAAAGGACGTATAGATAAAGATGGCAAGGAGAGAGGTTCGTCGGAAAAGGGTTCGCAGCGCAAGTGTTTATAAGCACACGAGTTCGTATGGAAAGAGGTCGTAAACAGTTGCTTGTATGCGAATGCTCGGGCGCAAATGCTTGTTAGTGACAACTTTTGCTTAAAAAAACACTTCAGCACAGATACTTGTCTGAGGTTCGTAGCAGTTTGATACCCATGTTCAGCAAAAATTGACGACCCTTCTACTTTCACGAAAATTGCACAAGAGAAAGGCTGAAGTGCACTAGCAGCCTATATCTGGACGCAACAAATATCGATCTGGCCTACGGTGAAGTCTATAGGTTGCAGGTTTTGATGTCCATGAAAAGCCGAGAGATGCCCTCCTTATTTGAACTGTGCTATGTTTATAATGTTTCTAAAAAAAATCAGAGGGGTCGGAATTTTACAAGTCCACAGGTCCCATATAAAATTCAATGGTAAATGATGTATTGTGACAGGAACTGATTTTATGCGTACGCGTATTTTTCCAACTTTTTAACTAGGCCTCATTCAATCAAGCAAGTGACATCATTCAGCTCCGGTTTTTTCTGGAAATGTGTCACTTACATTTGTTTAAGTGGGGTCATCACGTAACCTGACATGACCTGCACTCCAGTTCAGTGCTTAATTAAGCACTTTTTATTGTGCTTAGTTTAATTTAGCAATTGTCGCATCGGGCAGGATAACAGGGAAGTGTACGCTTTGCGCAAGGGTGCTGTTGTTGAGGCAATTTCGGTCAAATACATGGAAAATAAACTTTGACCTGCCTTATTATCGATGACATGAAGCAGTCTGCCTGGAATTGCGGCCGTCGATTCATCAGAAGGAATTTGACATGGCATATCGGGGAAGCGTTATTGGGGCCCATCTGGGCCAGCCATATGGGCCCATCTGGGCTGGTTACGTGGGCCCCAGCTGGACTGGCCCGTGGTGGGCTGGCCTAACTGAGTTACCCAGGCGGGTCCCAACTGGGCTGCCCACATGGGAACCACCTGGGCTGCCCAGGCGGGTCGCATTTGGGCTGCCCAGGTGGGTCCCATGTGTCCCAGGTAAGCCCCACAAGGGCCCCACATGGGCTTCGATGTAGGACCCAGTTGGTTGCCCATGACATGCCCGTATGGGCCCGAGGTAGCCCAGATGGTAGCCCAAGCCCAGGTGGGCCCTATTTGGTTACCCATCTCGGACCCACATGGGTCCTGGTTGTAAACGTTGGATGGGTTCCATGTGTGCCCCAGTTAGGCCTCCCATTGGCCCAACAACGGTCACCCATATGGGACCCAGGTGCTTGCCCATGACATGCCCACATGGGACCAAAGTGGACAACCTTGGTGGGCCCCATATGACTGTCCAACTGGGACCAATATGGGTCCCAGTTGGACGTGCTGGCTGGGTGACTTTCTCCACCTTAAAACGCTGGCTCCATTTGTGTGCACATTCAATTAAAATAGGCTGATATGGGCCCCAGCAAATAAGGTTGCACTCATTTGTGTGTTATTAATCTTCGATAGTTATATATTTTGCACATCCTTTGGGAATATCTTTTGGTGTGTTTGGCTTAATATTGTTTTCAGGGCCTTTCTGAAATCTGCATAATATTTCAGACCAAATGGTGTATTATATGAAACCAGTTTTTCGACACATAACGGATGACCCCTTATGACCTCTGGAGGTCAAACCTCTCGATGTCCAACAAAAAGCTTTTACGTATGTTGTCAGTACACTTTGGATTTTCTCGCAAGTTTCGTGGCATTGGTGGGGTTCGGATTTCGATAAATGACGCAAGCGCACAAAGTTTGTATGTAAATTTTGGTCGGGTACGAAGCTCTTTTGACAATATGCTCTTACAAAACCTCGTATGCAGATGCGTGCTGTACGGTGAAGTACAGATTTTCATCCCTCGTGCTGAGCCTCAGACGGAATATTACCTATTAGGCTACCACGACCTGTGTGAAGGGGATGGTGGCGAACGGCGGTGGCTGGGAATGTCGGGTCAAATGTTATAACCAGCCCGACTCTTCACGGCCTGAGATGGAACGTCCGTTGGCGGCCACCAAATGAACCTTTTCAATAGGCAGGAGGGGGGGGGGGGGCGGGATCTATTTTAAAGTGTAGGAGGGACCAGTCAGAAAATACACGACCTGACCTCCTCTATCAAAAGTTCTCAACGGTTTTGTACCCTTCCATTTTCAAACTTGAAGGAAAGGGTAATTTTTATGAGTATTGTTATAATCGCACGGTAACGCCGTCCTCTGTTGAGGGAATCAAATATGTGCATTATTGCCGGATGCACTTCGTTTTGAGCGAAACAGTTTCGTGGAATTTGATAATCTTGCTTTTCACATGCATACTGTGGTCGCATTTGGCCATTTAGATGCGATGATAGAGGGAAGGGGAAGATGGGAAACGAGGATAATACACTATCGGCATATTCCAACCTCCATATTCTCAGACAATGACGTCCGCTTTCACGACCACGATACCCAACAAAGAAAATAAGGATCTCGGAACTACAGCAAGTATTCAAGAAGGAACCTTCATTTCATATTGGTGTCGATCATGAACGGATTGCCATCAAATGCTACTCCTATTATCTACCCCACCTCGAGGTAATTCCCGCAGTATTTTCGCGTCACGACTGCAGTGACCGCGTGTTATTTTCGCTTTTAATAGCTCGGGCTCACCTCCAGTACACTGCTGACCACTGCAGTGGTCTGGTCTGGCCTGAATAGCAGGTGCCATTGAAAGGCCACGAGAAGAGTAGTGTGCCAACGCATCGCCGCCTTTAAAATTCCAGTGGTTTCCATCTTCGCCACTCGTGATTGCCAATCAGCTCAGACCACGAGTCCACTCACTGGCTGGTCCGCGACTGGTTAGAAAATTACGACTAAGTCGAACACGTGAACAGATATTCCTTGCATCTTCGCGCATTGAATCATATCGTCTCACACTGTCACGACATGGATTTCATAGGGAAGACGACTGCTTCGCTATAAAACTGTGTTAACCTAATTTGAGGGCTGGGTCGAGGGGCAGGCTAGGTCCGTCATGACCATCATCATACATCTATTTGATGTTGTACGAACGATGACACAAAAGCAGTATGGCCATGTATTCAGGTTCCCTTTGGGTCACCTCAGGTTCATGTGAGAAAATGTGGGCTTTTACAACCTTTTCCATTTCATCTGGCCATGAATAACAAATATATGGATAATGGTGAAGTGTAAGTCAAGTAACTTTAGTTTACCGTAACGTTATATATATATATATATATATATATATATATATATATATAATTCGACTGCTAGTGTAGTAACAGCCCAATCCACAAAAGCATCATACAAATGAATAATTCTGCTGAAGTGATCCGGAAACTAACGTGTTTCTGTGTCGAGCATATAATTATGTTTTGAACCTTAATGTCTACCGGGGATAAAGTTCAACAACTAGTCCAAGTATAGACCTAATTGGCAACAGGTCACTCAGACCGCCATTGTGAGATGCACGAAACATTGTGGATGATAAAAACCGGGTGTCCCAAACATGAATATGTCATTTAACTTGGAAATAGCTGTTTATGCCATGCTTGCTTAGCTCTTGGCATAACGTGTGGTGTCTAAAATGGCTATTATATGATTTTACCTGTGCAGGGTTACATTCACCGTTGTCTAGTTACACTCATCCGATACAGTTTGACAAGATGTTTCTAATACCGTTTTCCCACGGCTCTATCTTATTCAATTTCAAGATATAATGGATGTGGGCCCTGAGACCTCTTCTCTAAACTGAAAAAGTTAAAAATCTATTGTGATCGATTATATCCCGAGACCCCGAGGACGCTTTTTCCGTTTCCTCACACCGAGAGTGTTGACAGCCGGCGGAACATCCCAGGTGGGCCGGTTCAACTGACTGAAATAGCTCTGAACAAAAGGTTTGTGAAAATGGCGGGCCTCGAGGTTATATGGAGGTCTGAGCAGGGTAGGCTGGTGCATCCATGGTGGCCAGCAAGCCACCAGAATGGGTAGCTCCAAGGAGAAGCGAGTGGGGAGCAGCCATTTCCGGCAAGACGGTAATGAGCAGACATGTTCCCACTTTAACACGCGCTGGGGTGGAGGGTCAATTTACCCCACCCCACCCCCACACCCACCCGATGGTTTTTCCACAGTCATTTCCGAAAGGCGTGGCGTATCCACGCTAAACTCTGCATAGCTGTAGGTAATGGAATGGCGGATCTTTTGGTATGAGAATTAGACGCGCCTCGAAAGATCGCTCACTCATGGCAGGTCAGTCAGGCCGTGCCTGTCAGCAAAGGCAATTTCAAGGGAATCGTTTAATCTGATGCCAGAACGGAGTGTTAGACGAAGCCATGTGTCTCTGAGATAGTTCTTAGACGATAATGACATCTGAATTAAGAATAACCACAAATGATTTTAACCTCGGGCAGGTATGAAGGGCAGAGCGAGGTCAAAGCCAGCCTGAATTTGTACTAGAGGGCTTAATCCAAGGGGTAGTTTCTGGTGTTCCTTTAAAATTTATTCATAACAGGAACCGTAATAGATATCCTCCATGAACTTCGTAAAGGTCAGAGTACGTCACTGACCTGAGATGACCCGGATCCACGTTCTTTTAGGAACATAGCACCTAGCGTAAGTCTTGACGCTGTTTTAAATTAAAACAATAGACTCTCCTAAGGTTTCGATCTTCATCATGACCTTATAGCTGCCAAATAAGGTCACCGGCTTGTGATGAATGCCAGTGACATTTGCTTAGAACAGATAAGTAGGTTCCAGACGGTTTCATGAGGAGGTCCGTGGTATTTTGGATACCAATAAATAGTTTGACCTTGTTTGACCTCATTTGACCAAAAACTCATGACATAGGAATCTAAAAATTTGAAAAAGTGGCTTCAAGTGCAGGCTGATTCCCTTGTGAGTTTGTTGTATCTTATAGTTTTATAGTTTGACGCTTTGATGTACAAAAAACTACAAGATTTTTGTACATCAAAGCGTCAACTTCAATCCACTCACCCCGGCATGTGGTATTCAGCCGGCCACCCAGACGCGTGTTAAGTTTCATTTCCGGTAAAATGGTGTTAAATTGCTCCCCGGTTCGGGTTAGGAGCAAGGTGCTGAGTTTGACTTGAAGACCCTGTGCGTTTTCCGAAAAATGGGGGCATGATGGCCGGCTCCAAAGGTTGGCCGATCCAGATTGGCGTTGGACGAAATGGATGTCCATCAGATGTTCATAGCTCATAAACGGTGAGATGTAATGCCAATGTTCTCTGAAGCATTTATATTAAAAATAAAGATGAATGTACGTCATACATCCACTTAATACTTTGCTCGTGTTGGTAAAAATGCATTGTTGTATGTGTTACCGAGCCGTCTTATGATCACCCAAATATGAAAAAAAATATGATCACCCAAAACGGTTAACTCACACAGTGCACTGTCCCGCATCGTCTGTTTATTGCTGGACAGTGACGTTTTGGTCCCTTGCGCTAAGACCTTCAAGCTATGTTAGTCCTACGGACAGATTTACGTTTGTTAGTGAGCTGACGTTACGTCGGTTCTGATAGCTGGATCCGGCTCTGAATCAGGGAACGTAAGCTACATCACTCGGACGCCCAGATACATCAATTTATTTATCAGTCTCTACAGTTCTTCACATTGCCAAATCCGCGCAAGAAAGGACGCGACAAGCGAGCGCGACCTAAAACGTTGGGCGCAGACTGCGGATCGTTGTAATCTCCACAAGAATCAGATATTGGCCAGGTTTGTTTGATACTGTGATATTGTCAGAAAACGCATAGCGCTTGGAAACAGGTCGCATTTAGGCTTCTGGCTATGAATCGTCACTAGCCACAGCGCATGTCACCGGTCGTTGGTGGCAAGTCACTTGCTGGGGCTGCGGCCGCAGAGTGAGACGAGCGCCTCCTCATAGTCCCCAGTGGACTTGAGCTGAAACAAGGCATCGCCGGGTCGTCAGGTCAGCCGAGGGCGTGAAATGACACCAACGATATGAGTCCCCGCTGAGCGCGGAAACTATCCAGGATATGAGTAGGAGAAGGCGACGCAGGCGTGGTCTGTTGGGCTCAGCTGGCTATGAAATCAGGTATGCTTTTGTTCGAGGTGACGAACAGAGAGAATGTACGATTCGGCTCACAGGCAAGCGTGTTTGCGCCATGTTTGCGTTTTGCGCTGAGCTTAGCTGCATTTGGCACTAACAGCACACTTCGTGATCAATGTTATGTTGCATTTCAGAGCGCATGGGTACAAGATTAGGGTAAAACAAAGACCTTAATAAAGCTAATAGCCAATGCAGTGAAGCGAGCATCACAAGCGTTAAAAATGTACGGCAACTTTAGGAGGAAAATGACTATCCTCACATCTATATTAACCTCACTAGATGCATGAATTCCTAGTGTTTTTGATAACCTTTTGCCCTCTGGCATTCGACCTTTTAACGATGTAGCAAACTGTACTGTACTGTAGTATTGTAGCAAACTTTTACGTATAAGTCCGTGGTGGCCTAATAACTCCGTGAGTCCCCGCGAGATTCATATACCACAGCAAGTGCGAAATGTCACCAATGTTGCTCAGTCGTACTACGAATACACCATTTTAACCGTTTATAAACCGTTTTAACTGCTTATAACCGTTTTTGTCCCATCACGAGTGAGATAGGATTCGAACTCGAGTCTCCCGATTAAAGACCGCGGCGCTTCCTACCGCGCCGACCTCTGGCGTGGCGCCAGCCGCGTCCGGTGCCGCGCCGCGGCCCACCAAGCTCACCTCGATGTCGTCGACGAGCGCGCGGCCGTACTTCAGCCTGTACTCCTCGGCGATGGTGGCCAGGTCGATCTCGGCGCGCGACACCACGATCCGGATCAGGGAGCTGTCGTCCTTGCTGAGCGGTCCTCGACCCCACAGCGCGTCGTGCAGGCGCAGCGCGAAGTAGCGCGGCAGGTTACGGGTCACCTCCACTGCGGCGAGGGGAGGGGTGGGTTAAGTTAGGTTAGGTGCCGCCCTCCCCGGCGATTGGCTGATGGCTTCCACTGGCAAGCCATTTCGAACGAGGAGGGCTGGTTTGGCTCTATGCCCTGCTCTTTGCTTGTCTTGCTTAGAGGCCGAAGAACTGACAAGTTGTGAAAGCAGTAAGGCATCGTTTGAGGCATAACGCGGTTTTCCCTTTGTGTACAGCCGCGACCTCTGGCCCTCCTATTTAATGTCTATCACTTATCTCCAATTCTACCTCTCGCACTGATAGAAGGGGGGGGGGGGGTCGATACGACCCCCTATGCTTTCTGAGGATACTTCTCCCGCATGCTGTATAATCACGCCAGGATTTTCGGTGGCCCCCTAGGGAATCCATATCGCTTACATCTTTACATCTTTTCTGCGTGCGTTTACATCTGCGTACTTTGACATCAAGTCCCCTAGACGAGGGCTGAAAGAGATTCTCAGGATGTCAGTCGGTCCAGCTGAACCATCTCCATCGCCTTACCAATGGCCAGCACGGCGTCCTCGACATGACGCGAGAACTCGTCCTCCAGGGCTTCGGTGAAGGACTGTCCGGCGAGCTGCTCGTACTCCGAGAAGATGAGGGCCAGCTGCGCGTAGTTCTCGCGCGTCAGGTAGTACTTGAACGTCTCCTCTTGGGTACCGAGGCGGTTTTCTCCTGCCGTTGAAGTCACGGGACCGTCAGATTAAGAACGCTGGTGAGTTAGATTGGCGTTGGATCAGGGAGAGCCAGGAAACCTTAAAAAGTTCAATGCTTTATGTGAGTTTTTCAGTGCAGCTGCGAAGAGCATTGCACACACGTAAGCGCGCCGCTATCGGCCTTGCTCCGCGATAAATAACTGGGAAATCAAAAAGCCGCTTAGAGGCCTCGCCTAGAAATGACCAATAAACATGTGGCGACAAGCGTCAGGCATGCGATGACTGCTTTAAATACTTTCCAATCACTAGAATCGAGTCCATGTCCGACGATAGGGCGTCACGTCAAGCGGATTCCAGATTCAAGCGGATTCAAGCGGATTCCAGTCTCCAGCCACGGCTGAAACTTAGCAAGGTGGAAGCAAGCATTTGGCAATGCTTCAAATGTGAAGCAATGCTCTGAGATGGTGGCCTCTTGCAACCTTTGTCTGCATATCCAGGTAAGTTTTTAGCCGTTGGACGCTGATATTTAGTCCAAGGAAGACGAAGATTGCAGCCGCCTTCAACGCTGTTACGCTCTTGGTTCATGAGTCTCAGCGCCATTACTACAGGGTATGGGCACGGACAGACAATATTAACTGAGTGTTCCATGGGTAAGGTGGCATGCGTCGGTTTACCATCAGATTATTTATCGGAGTGCTATCATAGAAACACACTTCTCGCAATCCTCATATGACTATTCAGACGCTTCATCACAACTCATGAATATGATGCACTTATGTATATGTAAACATACATTATAGTATACATATATATATATATATATAATACATGTTATATGTATGCTAACAGGCACACACACACACACACACACACACAACACACACACACACACACACACACACACACACACACACACACACACACACACACACACACACACACACACACACACACACACACAACACACACACACACACACACACACACACACACACACACACACACACACACACACACACACACACACACACCACACACACACACACACACACACACACACACACACACACACACACACACACACACACACACACCACACACACTATATATATATATATATATATATATATATATATATATATATATATATATATATAACCTGTTATATGTATGTTAACAGGCACACACACATATATACACATATATGTGTATATACATGCATATATATATATATATATATATATATATATATATATATACATATATACACATACCTGTTAATGCGAGTGAAGGCTTCCAGCCCGCTGAGCGTGTCACACCCGCCGTCCCCATCCCCAGCCATCACCACTCCCGCAGACCCACCGTCTTGGTAAAGAGCAGCCGCCTGTTCTCTGGCTCGCTGCTTGCTGACTTTGAAGCTGTTGTCTCGGCTGCCGTTGACGAGCGTTACCAGGATGTCCTCCAGGTCGCTTCTGAAGTCGCCCTTGATGTCATCCAGCAGCGTGTCCTGCTCGACTGAGGAGTGACACCGCGTCAGACAGTGCATTGTTGGGTTTAGCTGCAGCGAACGGCCACCGCACATTGCATGTCCCTCAGCACCAGGAGTGGATCACGTAACGCTAGCAAACATACACATCAGATAGAGTCGTTATTAGGCTCAAGAGCGTAGGCGCTAACCGACTACACACAGAAGTTCTCTTCGACTTGGTTCGGTGAGCGCCAATCGGTGACACATGGTTCGGTGAGCGCCAATCGGTGACACACGCAGACGCCTCAATGCTGTCTCTGAGCTCGTGTGGGGGTGACAGCGTTGAGCACGCCGTGCCGAGAGCTTTCTAGGGGAGGCTGTGTGACCGCCACGGTCCGCCTCACTGGCCTGCCTGAGGCTTCTGGTGCGGAGACAGCGTGCCCTGCCAGGTCACTTGCAACCCCGGCACTCCACCTAACGCCGCGACAAAAGCAGAGCGAAGGCAGGAGCGAGCGAAACGCCCGTGGCGCACCAGCGCTTCGTCCGGACACAGCACCAGCGCTTCGTCCGGACACAGCGGCCTCGGCTCTGGAGGCTGAGCGCTCTCCCGCGCCCCACTCACTGGCGTAGTAGAGCGGCGCGATGATCTTGATCTCGTCGTTGGTGCTGCTGATGAGCGTTTCCAGCACGGTGTCCTCGTCGGTGCCGATGCGGTCCATGCCGTCGTGCAGCTCCTGCGCCAGGTACTCGTAGTAGGTGCTTCCCCGAAGCAGCGCCTGCATGAGGTTCTCGAAGTGGCCGCGCGTTGTCCTGGTCACGTCCCTGTACAGGTTCTGCATGGCAGGAACAAGTGGTATGAGGAGGGGCCACTCAGAGGAATGTCACACATTTCGTTGACACATTTGTGCTGACTGGTTGTCAATGGAGTTCGACTTTGAGTCTCAATTGGCAGCTGGATTGAACACCCGAACGCGGCATATACAGTCGGGCTGTCGAAGTTGAACCAACTTTCGTCCGCTCAACCAAGGGTGAACGGTGAAGCTGCGTGCATGCCTCTGGGTTCAGATGAAACTGTACCTGAATCCAATAAGTGGATGCTTGGATCACAACATCGATGCAGGTCATTATTCTTTATAATAGATAAATGACCTGATGTCATGATAGACTGACTTGTTTTCGTTCGAAACTTGCAGGCTGGTAGATGAGCGAAAATCAGAAAAAAGCTAGAGACACGAAGTTCTGGTGATCGTCATCATCGGTCACGTAGAGAGGGGACAGAAAAGAAGAGGAAAAGTGTGCAGGACACGTATCCTAGCCCTGCGATTGCCCGCTCTGCACTGGCGGCTCACAAAATCCCGCCTGCTTGACGCCGGCGCTGCCATCTAGTGATGACTCCCTTCAACCACATGGCGTTTAGATGGAATCTGATGGATGATGTGCGGCAACTGTTAAAGCCTAACACACTGTCTCGTGGTTTTTAACCGTGCGCCATCTATTGTCACTCAATCTCACCAACAGGCCACCAATAGATGTCGCTGCCGGCGTCAAACAGGCGCGAAATTTGCAGCCGCTAGTCGCGCACAGGTAGTTGTTGCATGGGTAGGGGACGTGCCAGGCTTATGTTTCTTCCCTTCTCCTTTCTGTCCTCTTTATAATGCCTGATGATGGCAAACGCCGAAAAATTGCATCCCCAACTCTTCTTCCGATCTCCTTTCTTCTGATTTTCGCTTCTCTATACGGCCTACAAGTCTCCAAAAGCAAGCAGGTCAGATCACAAATCTGATCGCTCGTTCGTTCCGACAGTTTAAGTACAGCTTCCTTTCACATACTGCAAGGCCTTCAGCGAATAGCGCACCCACGTCGCGTTTACAGCGCGTGCTTCAGCGCGTGGGCAAAGATCAAACTGAAAAACGTCCGGGGCCCAAAGGAAGGTCAGCATTTCACGCAGGGTGTTGGACGAGACTGACCTTGCCATAGAGATTGGAGTAAGCCTGCGATATGAGTGCCCTCTCGGAGAAGGTTCTCTTGGTCAGGACATCGATCAGCTCGTCGTCCGTGGCGTCAAAGTAGCCGATGGCAGACCTGTGGAACGGTCACATCACTTGAGTGGTCGCGCGCTGGATCATCTCAGTGGTTACACGCTGGATTATCTGAGTGGTCACGCGCTGGATCATCTGAGTGGTTACGCGCTGGATGATCTGAGTGGTCACGCGCATCGCATGGGCCTCGCAGAGCCAAAACAGCTCTTAGTCAGGGATCTGTCAGAGCCGGAGCAGCTCTCAGTCAGGGATCTGTCAGAGCCGGAGCAGCTCTCAGTCAGGGATCTGTCAGAGCCGGAGCAGCTCTCATTCAGGGATCTGCCAGAGCCGGAGCAGCTCTCATTCAGGGATCTGTCAGAGCCGGAGCAGCTCTCATTCAGGGATCTGTCAGAGCCGGAGCAGCTCTCATTCAGAGATCTGCCAGAGCCAGAACAGCTCTCAGTCAGGGATCTGTCAGAGCCGGAGCAGCTCTCATTCAGGGATCTGCCAGAGCCAGAACAGCTCTCAGTCAAGGATCTGTCAGAGCCAGAACAGCTCTCAGTCAGGGATCTGTCAGAGCCGGAGCAGCTCTCATTCAGGGATCTGCCAGAGCCGGAGCAGCTCTCAGTCAGGGATCTGTCAGAGCCGGAGCAGCTCTCATTCAGGGATCTGCCAGAGCCGGAGCAGCTCTCATTCAGGGATCTGTCAGAGCCGGAGCAGCTCTCAGTCAGGGATCTGTCAGAGCCGGAGCAGCTCTCATTCAGGGATCTGCCAGAGCCGGAGCAGCTCTCATTCAGGGATCTGTCAGAGCCGGAGCAGCTCTCAGTCAGGGATCTGTCAGAGCTGGAGCAGCTCTCAGTCAGGGATCTGTCAGAGCCAGAACAGCTCTCATTCAGGGATCTGCCAGAGCCGGAGCAGCTCTCATTCAGGGATCTGTCAGAGCCAGAACATTCCTCAGTCAAGGATCTGTCAGAGCCAGAACAACTCTCAGTCAGGGATCTGTCAGAGCCGGAGCAGCTCTCAGTCAGGGATCTGTCAGAGCCGGAGCAGCTCTCAGTCAGGGATCTGTCAGAGCCGGAGCAGCTCTCAGTCAGGGATCTGTCAGAGCCGCAGCAGCTCTCATTCAGGGATCTGTCACACGACAATGTAGATTCGGGGAAGATATGCGCAGCTTTCAACTTAGAAACGGGTCTGGCTCTTACATCACACTAACACCACGATGTTATTATGTCATGTGTTCTGGCATCAATCAAAGCCATCGTATGAAATGATTCGCCTAACTGGACCAAATTCGTCGAATGGAATATAAACAGTCTGGAATATACTCCAGAGAAATCAGTAGACCGCTGGCAAGGGAATCGCTTAAGCACGTGCATGCATCATCGGCATGTATTTCCTGTTCTTTGAGCGACTCGTCTGCCGTTGCTCTGCGTACTGGGATTTCCGTGAAGAAGTTCAACGGTTGAAATATGGAAACAGCAGACGTTTTCAGAACCCCCACATCACGACTGAGGCTCCTCCGATGTCATACAAATCAAAGTTCTTCTTGTGGCCTTGTGCGGCCCGGCACAAGGCCACAAGAGGCCCGGCCCGGCTGTAGGCCGGGCCTTGGCGGAGGCCTAGTCAGGATTTCGCCCCAGGAAGAGGGCGAATCGGGTCGAGTTGAGACCGTTCCAGCCAAAGTGGACGCTCTGGCCGCTGATTGTAAAACTTTTTGGGATCCGCTATCATTGTAGGCTTGGAATCCCTTTGTGATACTCCTCGGGATCCGCTTTTAAATGATTACACTAGAGGCGCCTTTAACTCCCAAGAATTACTGTGGATTTGTCCCCAGGTGGCCTCGCCACGTCCAGATGGGTCAGGACCCGAAGGCACCCTGCTTGGCTACGCCACTGGGGCTCGAAACGTGCGTAACTGGAAGCTCGGAGCAAAGACCAGCTCTGTGGTGATACACTTACACCACGTCTCTGGCTCAGCCAGGGGCGCGTCCGGCGTCTGTCATGGGTAAAATTTGGCTTTCATATGGCCATCTCTGGTGGTCCTGCCCGGCCTCCGCGGGCCATCTTTGGTGGTCCTGCCCGGCCTCCGCGGGCCGTCTCTGGTGGTCCTGTTCGGTCCCCGTGGGCCGGCTCCGGCGCTTCTGCTCGGCCTCCGTGGGCTGGACAGGTTCCAGAGCCCCGGCAACAGGGGCTGGCGCCTCTCTCCCGGCGTCTGTATATACAACAGCAATCTCTCCCTATGCCCCACACGGTGGCGGCACCACGCGTCCAGACCTCCAGACCAGGTCTCCTGCCCAGGCTATCACTTTCATGTGGGGATTTTGCAGCTGCTTATGTCACTTTTCAGGCATTCATACCTGGAACAGTACCCCCTCAGTCGTCCCTCGCTGCTTTGCTGCCTCGCGAACTCCCTGAATCGTCGGTAGGCCACAAACAGTGCTTACCCCAGCGCTCAGTGCTGAAGAGTGCCTGTAGGTTTCAGCCACCTTCAGGTGCTGGGCTTTAGGATCAAATGATATCACGCGCCTCTTAAGATACGCATCCAGCATCGCATCGCATCGCATCGTGCCTCTCAGCATGGCGCTCGGACTAGTGCACAACTTGCGCAGTGTAGACAGTGCCGTCTTGCGAAAGAGCTGGGGCAAGGTATCCGAGTGACGGATGGAATAATCGGCCGGGCTGTTGTTGTTCAGTTCGTAGAGTACTGGACTCGCAATCAGAGGACCTTGGTTCCAATCATAAATAGCAGAGACGCTTACGAGGGGAGCGCCGTAACCTTAGCATTAAATCATTATTTTCAAATACGTTACAGGTAATGACTGCCCACCATCTGCTAGATGTGGCTTTGCCGGTAGCTTTAACTGTAAAGCAGGCCCGTGCATTCTCCTTCGCAAGTTCCCTCTGTAACGACTTTCAGTGCTCGTTTCCCCGGGCTACGCCGTGCAGATGGAGGAAATGAGGAATGTTGCAAGTACTCACACATTCATAAGTGTTCCGTATCAACATGCATAAGTCTACTTACTTGAGCCGCCTGGCGTCGGCGTCGGCATCAAAGTACGCCGACTCCCGAAGTGTGGGACGAGCATTAAGCTGAAATCAGTGATGAAAAGCATCAGCGTCTGGTGAGCGGCAAAGCCGTCGAGTGACACCCTTTCGACACCTCTGGCAATGTCGGTCACAACGTGCACTGTCCATGTAATCGGTTGAAAAAAACGGTGCATGTATTACTAAGAAGCGGTGAGAACACGTGGCAAGGGATTCGCGGAAGTGGAACTGCAGTGATCACTGCGTATGACCCGGATTACTGCATCGATGCCTTGCGGATGAAAGTAGTCGAATAATAGTGCCCAAGTTATTACAAGCGTTTTAGCATATCGCTGTCATAAAAGGCGTTCTGAAACTGGATGAATTTTAGAAGCATAAAGTGCAGATAACGTGTTCAAATTTGGTCTCGTTGCCTTGTTAAGAGGTAATTCTAAGAAAGGTATTTTTAGGACGCGTTGGAGCAAAACACAGGCTCATCAAACTGATATAAATTGTTCCGAAAACAAACAAGGCATATGGGTAGGCATGACAAAGTTCGGGACAAAAGGTAAGCATCTGTTTGTATCATCGCCCTATGCGAAGGTGAAACGACAAAAGTGAATTACATAAACTCATCAATTATGTGACTTTCCTAACCGAGTCACCGCCAGTGCTTCACATCAGCCAAATATCTCCCCCCCCCCCCCTCCCCTCCTCTATGCATGGTCCGGTTCGGACAAAGGTGTTACGTTTCGCTCCGTGCCGACCTGGCAAGAAGATAATGTTCGGGCGGCCAGCGTGAGCCATTAACCCTTGCACTGCCGAAGACCTCACCAGATCTCACCAACCTAAAACTGGCGGAGGAGGAAGGAGGCGGGGTGGGGGGAGTAGACAACTACCCCCTGCTGTCCGGGGTAAGATGTATACAAAAATATATGTGAAACGCCGTCAAAAAGTGTCTGTGCCTTTTTAAAACAAACAACCTTTAGTAATGTTATTTATTAAGTTGACCGCAGGCCAAGGTCACATGACGCCATCTTCCTGTCATGTACAGTTGACCCCATCGTTTCAATCTGCTATAAACTGAACGGTTAGGTGTGTGCAGCACTGTGCTCAGTCCATACTTATACGCTGCAAGCGTTTGACCGAGATCAACCAGTTGTCAAGCCAGTTTACGTTTCAAGGTTCAAGTTAGGGCAGTGACGTTAGATAGCTATTTGGGTAAAATGTCACGAGCAGATGAGGACACAACGCTGTTAGGTCTCATGAAGAGTAAAAACAAGCCAACCGTGCGTGTAAAGTGCGTTTTGTAGTCTTCAGATTAATAAAGTCAAGTCTTCAGATAAATGAAATCAATACCTCTTACAAGTTGAGAACATATCATCACAGAATGAAAGTAAAGCTCAACAGGTCGGCCAACTATGACGGAAAATTTATTTCTGGACTTCAGTAGCGGCAACGCTGCGTAATAAGGTACGAATGCAAAAACAATAGGGACTGGATGATCAGCAAGTGTCGTATTCAACCACCTCCAGTGAGATGCCGAATACCTAAAACTATCTGGGTCATTGATCCGGCATGACCTGGCACCCAAAATTGTCGGATAGCTTTGACATGGATGTGGGATAAAGGCATGAGTAGCACCAGGCTGAAAAGTGTCGGCCGTTCTGCAGTTGACGTAAAAATGTCACGGGAGCAAACTGTCTCCGCCCAGAGGGACATTTGAGGGACATTTGAGGGACATTGTCACTGAGAGGGACATTTGCCGGGGGCTGACCCAGGGGGACCGTTGGGAGGCAGCGGTGTAGTTTGTGGCGGTGTGCCCTCACCCTTGTGCGTTATGGCTATGGCGGGCGCTAAACGTTGCTTTCTTCCTGCCAATGTAAATAGGCATCTGTCTGATAGTCTACCTCAAATCCAAACTCCCTGCAGCCTGCTTAGAACCCGAAGCTCTTGACGTCCCTGAGAGCTCAGCTTCTTTGGTGAAACATGTCGAGGCACCCTCCGTTTTGACATAGTGTATCTACATTAATATGTATATACATATATATATATATATATATATATATATTCCTTTTCGCAAATGTTGTGTTGTCATTATTTGTTTATAAATTTACTGGTGCGTGAAATAGATACCTTATGATAACATGAAATCATCACTCAGTAATCATATGATTTCTTACAGTCATTTAAACATTTGTGATCACGTTGTTCTCAACTAGTGAAACGCAATAATTTGTGCTTATTCTAAATCTTTACATCACATATCGATTTAGCATTTCGCAACAGTTGTAGCTTTCGTGAAATTGACCTCAAAAACTGAAATTTACATCGTACACCATAGTGATTTGTGGTCGCCTACCATATCGCGCATGTCGTAACATGGCTTGATTTCGCTTGCTTATCATGATGACCGTTATGGCAGTTGCCTATAAATATGCATTCGTACGACGCGTTAGCTTATGATTATTACACAAACAACTTTTTAAACTTGGCGTCCTTTCCCAAGATTTCCCCGCTGAGTGCGCGATTGACATTTTGTAACTTAACATTGGTGTCAGCCCACTCTTTCAGGGATCGCTTTTAATTGCGACGGACAGGAGGTGATTTTCGGTGGGATAAAATCTATGTCTACTACCTCGCGTAAAAAAACAAGGGAGCAAGTTTCGCTCACACACTTCATTCCGAAATCAACAACACATGTTTAGTACGTATTTGTACGCCAGTCTTCCCGTTTGTCAATTTTGAGCACCAGCGGACGTTTCTTACGTCCAGTAAAGATAAACGTGAACAACGTGCAAAAATTAGCAAAATAGTGAATTATCCCTTCCCCCCCCCCCCCCCCAGGCACATAATCCGAGCAAAAAATAGTGTTATGAAAATATGGATATTCACGTAACAGCTCCTTACAGTAAACCTGGGCATGCGTGCTTTTCACGATGCTTTTGACAAAGTCCCGCGTATGCTTCCCGCTACGTAATATATTTGATATAAGTAAATCGTCGATCAGCGCCTTTTTCGGCGCTATGAGTTCGATTTCTTGCGCTGAGCTAACCACCTCCAGTGTATCGAGAGGTCTGGTTAAGAGACGTTCTAGTGCCAAAACAATGACTTTTTTGACGGCCCTCAATGTTACGAGCTGTTCTCATCCTCAAGACATTTTATCGGCGTAAAGTACGGCCTGCTGCATGCCCTCCGCCTGAAACTTGTCTGGTGAGCATCGTTAGTCCAATCATCCGCCCATCGCCCTGGTATTTGCGTTCTAACTCCTTGCACAAGTCTACTGGGCGTCACCGGAGTCCGGCGCCTCCGTCAAGTTTCCAACGCCCAGTGCCCCTGCTGACTGTCGCTGTAGATCAGTCAGTGCCCAGCGCCCCTGCTGACTGTCGCTGCAGACCAGCCAGCGCCCAGCGCCCCTCCCGTGTGTCGGTGTACACCGGGCAGTGCCCCTGTTCACTGTCGCTGCAGACCAGTCAGCGCCCAGCGCCCCTGCTGACTGTCGCTATACACCGGCCAGCGTCCCTGCTGACTGTCGCTGCAGACCAGCCAGCGCCCAGCGCCCCGCTGACCGTCGCTGCACACCGGCCAGTTTCTCAGCGCCCAGCGTCCAGTGCTTACCCGTCGGGAGTGCGCGCAGGCCACGCTGAGTGGGTACGACTTGCAGAACTTCCAGACGTCATAGTCGGGCCGCTGGGTGTCGGGCACCACGCCCGCGGGCGCGCCCGAGGTCCCCGAGCCGCCCGGCGCCGGCTGCGCGTTCGTGCAGCAAACCTGGGAAAAACGGCAGAATTTAAGCGTAGGAGGGGGGGGGGGGGCGCGTACTCGGTGGTATTGCACCGATATGGTGAGCTGTTCAGTGACGGAGTGTCCAACCATAGCGGTGAACTCATGCAGAGGACGGGCCTTGAGAGAGGCGTGCAACGAATGTTGTAACGCTCACCTCGCATAATCGACCACTGGGCGACAAATGACTACAGATAAGTGACTTGCACGTGGTGCCGTCCTTTGTGACGAGGGAATGCGGGCCACCAGTGAGCAGTCTTTAAAGGGAATGTTCCGCATTTGAAAATGTTGAAGTATGTATCAGATGTGATGAGACAAGCTCACTCAGAAGTAATGGTAAACTTTTTAAATAAAGAAGACTACCCTGAGCAATACAATTTCTCTGTTTATTTAAAATGCCATTCGATACGTCATTATTTGATTATGCCATCGCAACTTGCACACCATTGATTGAGAGCCAGTCGACCGCCGTTGTATCTGGAGATTGTGCTCACGAACGCCAGATATCAATGACTCGACTTTTATATCATCCTTGGCCTTGAACGCCGCAAAGCGTATGGAACGGCAGGATTTGAATGACATTATTATGACGTCATTAATGCCAAGGTGACCGTGAAATACTCTCATCGTAAAGTCTCTCTATTTTCGCGGGCGAATCGATCAGAAACTAGAATGGTTTAGGTCTTAAGAAAGGCAGGGCAGACAACTGCACCAAATGATCTCCAAGATGGCCATTTCAGTTCAAAACCAAATGCAGAGGCGAATTACCCCCTTAAATGAGTCTCCTACATGTGAAACCTCAGTACGGAGCATCTTACCAGCGAGAGACCGGTGCCCAGCCTCTCATGTGTGCCACTTGAGTGATGACCTTCCAGACTAGGACACTCTTCTAGCCCTTTCAAACATAGATGCCAGAGCCCCT